ATTGGCCTGACCAGAAGTGGTCAGTCTTAGCTTGTCATGAGACTGCATTCAGTGTCAGCAAGACGTGTTTGCTGATCTGATCCGTCTTGTGTTGATACTTCCTCCCTGCGGTTCTGTGTTCACCTTGTTAATTGTAAGTGTTCAGTCTCTGCGAGATCAACGCCCATTCAGTGTTGACCTTCACAACAGATAGAAATAATTGCACGGCTACTGATGTGCACTTATAGAATCAGAGGAACAATGTAGAGACCGCGAAACACAGTAAATAATACAAGCCAGCAGTTGAGAGCGATAGCGATCAGATTCTGGTGATCTGCCTCTTCAGTGAGACACCATCAACATTGTATGTTTACACTGTGCAATCTCTTGTTCAGACTTCTGCCGGCCGCGATATATATTGCCACACATACACACTCCGCGGTCTTTGTCTGCCTTGTCAGAATCAAACAACACATCAAACGAGGGCAGGGCAATACAGTTATGTTGGTGTTTAATTGCATTTGCCTTCCACGATCAGTCTGGGAATCGCCTTCCCAGGGTCGCTACAGACCAGCCGGTTGACCACACACAACCATGAGGGATGGGGGAGGCAATCATCTATGCTTCCTGTACACGTCTATGCAGTAGCTGCTTACATCTCCCTTCCTTCCTCATCATCATCTCCTTCTTCTTCTCTTACTTTCGCCGCGGTTGCTACTGTCTTTGATCCTTCATGACCGTTGACACCCCAGTCAGTATTCCTCTACAGGGTGGGTTTCTGCTCTACTCATTTCTCCTATTCCACAAGATGTCAAGAAGACTTACTAGTTAGACTATAGACTAGTTTCTTTTCTCTCTCTCTCTCTCTCTCTCTCTCTCTCTCTCTCTCTCTCTCTCTCTCTCTCTCTCTCTCTCTCTCTTTTTTTTTTTTCTGTGTCTGCCGCTGTCTTTGTCCATTTTTACATCTGCCTCCCTCACCCGCCACCCAAGTTTTGTTTCTTTGGTGTAATTATTTATAATACTAAAGAACAAGTGTGTATTCCTGTGAATGTTTGCCCATGACTACTCCCAGCAACCCTAGCTGAGTGTAGCCGGGTATATCGGGGTCGGTGATGTGTGTCGCCACTTTCCGCCCGTGATCCTGCGTCGGCCAGCGGTCGGGCAAAGCTGTTCGGTTTGATGGAAAACTGTCCAACACTGGTCATACAAGAACAGGCCTACAAGTGAACTTATATATGTTTATACCAAAATATGTGCATCTCTGTTTGAATACATGTTTATCTGTTATAACTAATACATGTGCCCAGAATGCTAGTTGTTCCATGTTCCTGTAGTCTCTGGCAAACGTAGATTGCCTGACTTTGGTGTGACTGTCTCTTTTGCAGGTCTCAAGTCTGAGCGCGGTATATCCACGGTGACCCAGCAGACACTGACCCCCTTAAAAATAACTAACTGCTAATGTCATTTGGGGTCATTTAGTCCGTTGATGGACAGGGGCGTAACCAGTGTGGAATTGATAGCCGTTCCGTTGTTGACCCTACGGTTTGGCCGTGAAGTCTTGTTGACACAATATGATTGACTCGTCACAGGTCGCCCCTGGCACGTGCGGACCTTGGGCTAGTGCTGACGTGGCTTATATTGTAGTCACGTGAACACAAACCTTGACCGCTCAGCTCTGCCAGTGTTCCGCGGGCACTCGGACATTGTAGCCTACTGGGATCCATTTAGAACGGACGTGCGACCTGAGCGGCCGGCCTTTTGACTTGGCTTTAAATGTGATAGGTATCAAATGATGACTGGCTGGCAGTGTTCTGTCACAGAGATGAGCTGCCGCTGATATCGGAGAGCTGGGCGCAAACACGCCTCTCACTGCTCGTGTTGCCTAGGGCTCTCATCCGGTGTCTGAAAGGACACGCCGATGTTCCTTGTCACAAACATTTTCAATATCTTTTCTGAATTGATAATTCAAGTAGCGGGCTAGAACTTGTGGACATACATCACCGGGGGGACTTTCTACTGTTGTTGGAGGTTAACTCTCGCTAGTGAAGATGCTGGGTCACCGACACAGGTCTCAGTGTCAGAGGGTAGGGTGAGATAACGGAGACCTGGTCAGTGGTCGCTGAAGAGGAAGTGTAGGCGAGCCGGACAGCGCATCTCATCACGTTGTTAACGGTGTCTGTTTATAGGCGTTGATGTGACAGACATTTATCTAGGTCATCTCTAGTTACCGACAGTCTCACGGCAGACACGGGGCGCGCCATTGGTGCTGTCTATAGAATTCTATGTATCTTAGATGTTTCTGTTCACCCGCCTGTTCTACCCTACTATTCGGGTGTACATGTTTCTCTGATTGAGAGCTTGTTTATCTCCAGGGAGTACATGCCTCCTTAATTATTTCTGCCTATCTGCCCTCTTGCTCGGTTTAACTCTTACTGCCTGCGTATCTGCCCTCTTGCTTGGTTTAACTCTTACTGCCTGCGTATCTGCCCTCTTGCTTGGTTTAACTCTTACTGCCTGCCTATCTACCCTCTTGATTGGTTTAACTCTTACTACCTGTCTATCTGCCCTCTTGATTGGTTCAACTCTTAATGCCTGCCAATCTGTCCTCTTGTTTGGTTTAACTCTTACTGCCTGCCTATCTGCCCTCTTGATGGTTTAACTCTTACTGCCTGCCTATCTGCCCTCTTGCTTGGTTTAACTCTTACTGCCTGCCTATCTGCCCTCTTGATTGGTTTAACTCTTACTGCCTGCCTATCTGCCCTTTTGCTTGGTTTAGCTCTTACTGCCTGCCTGCCCTCTTGCTTAGCTATACTCTATCTGCCTTCCTTGACACCTGTCTACCTTCCTTTATACCCACCACATGGTCCTCCTCCACCTGCCTTGACACCTGTCTACCTTCCTTTATACCCACCACATGGTCCTCCTCCACCTTCCTTGACACCTGTCTACCTTCCTTTATACCCACCACATGGTCCTCCTCCACCTTCCTTGACACCTGTCTACCTTCCTTTATACCCACCACATGGTCCTCCTCCACCTTCGTGGACACCTGTCTACCTTCCTTTATACCCACCACATGGTCCTCCTCCACCTTCCTTGACACCTGTCTACCTTCCTTTATACCCACCACATGGTCCTCCTCCACCTGCCTTGACACCTGTCTACCTTCCTTTATACCCACCACATGGTCCTCCTCCACCTTCGTGGACACCTGTCTACCTTCCTTTATACCCACCACATGGTCCTCCTCCACCTTCCTTGACACCTGTCTACCTTCCTTTATACCCACCACATGGTCCTCCTCCACCTGCCTCCCTGTCTATCCATGACACTTTACAAATATATATATTTTTTTCGTTTTAAACTTCCTGCCTCTCTGTCTGTCTGCCTCTCTGTCTGTCTGCCTCTCTGTCTGTCTGCCTCTCTGTCTGTCTGCCTCTCTGTCTGTCTGTCTCTCTGCCAATATGCCTGTTCATCTGTCTCCATGTCTGTTTACCTGAATGGTGGGAAACGTGCCAAAGGAATGTGTCTCTTCCAGCTTCTGCCTGTTTTCCTACTTTCCTATTTGTCTACATATTTCTGTTTCCTTGTCCGTCAAGACTCTGCCACCACAGCTACCCCCACCCATCCTCCTCCTCTCCGGTCTGCCTTGCCTGTATCCGTTCTTGCTGCTAAGTGTAATCCAGTTCTTGCCTTAGTGTAGACAGTTATTGCTATGCCACCATAAGATCGTTCTTGTTGCTAAGTGTATCCGTTCTTGTTGCTGTATCCTCCTTGTACTACCAGTTAGCCGCTTGCTGCTAAGATCCGTTCTTTCTAATTCACGGCGACCACACATCCGTTCTTGTTGCTAAGGTGGTTGCTCTTTTCTGATGTTGTTCTTGTTGCTAAGTGTATCCGTTCTTGTTGCTAAGTGTATCCGTTCTTGTTGCTAAGTGTATCCGTTCTTGTTGCTAAGTGTATCCGTTCTTGTTGCTAAGTGTATCCGTTCTTGTTGCTAAGTGTATCCGTTCTTGTTGCTAAGTGTATCCGTTCTTGTTGCTAAGTGTATCCGTTCTTGTTGCTAAGTGTATCCGTTCTTGTTGCTAAGTGTATCCGTTCTTGTTGTTGTTTGATGTGGTTGCTGATGTCTGCAGCCTCATATGAAGCGTTGTTTTATTGCGACAGTTAATTGTGCAGCTGTGTCATTCAGTGCCAAAGAGTTCAGACGAAGCAGAGAGCACCTTACATTAGTTAAAGTAACAGTCTGGAGATCATGCATTTTTCCTGTGGCAACTTAACATTGTGAGTCCTGGCCTCACTCAGTCACTGAAGACAAAGACTGGAGCTTTGGAATTAAAATGTTACAGACAATTTCTGAGAATACCATGGATCAAGAAGAGGAAGTAACATCGACATTGTACACGAGTGAAACATTTAGGAGAACTGGCTCGTAAATAGTGTCCTATCCCAAAGGTTGAGTATTTTGGCCACAGCAAATGTCAGGGTGGCTTAGAAAAGAGAGTGATAGGGTGCAGTTTGTGGAAAGCGAGGCAGGGGTCGACCTCCGCGAAGATGGATACACGACACTGAAGATGCATTGACATTGAAAGCAGATGGGGTTGGAGAGCTGGCTAGGAAAGGGGATACTTTCAGGCGTGCCTTGAAAAGAGCGACGTTCTGTAAAGGACTTGCTGATTAATGAATGATGTCATTCAGTGTTGGGATATAACAAAATGTTCTCTACTTCGATCAGCCGTTTATTTTTTTTTTCACACTCTCTTTTTCGTCTTTTCTCTCTCCTTCCCTTTCTCTGTCTCTCTGTTTATCTCTCTCACTCTCTTCCCTTTTTTCTCTTTATCTTCTCCTTACCCACGTTAAGAGTCGAAGCTTGTCCCTCGACAGTTTAAAATGATCGCTGTCTGGAGTTATCTTGTAGTGTAATAAGTAACGATATGTGTCGCCGTTCTGGGACAGTCACTAGTGTCCCCCGCAGGTCCCACTGATAACCAGTGATCATTCTCCTGGTATTTATGTTGCAGGTATTCGTCCTAAAAACGAGAACAGCAAAGAACTGGTGGTCACGTCACATATAGCCGCACCCAGCGACGTCTTCTGTTCGGTGCCAGGTCGCCTGTCTCTCTTGAGCTCAACTTCCAAGTACAAGGTGACGGTGGCTGAGGTCCAGAGACGCCTGTCTCCGCCGGAGTGTCTCAACGCATCTTTGCTGGGCGGCGTCTTGAGGAGGTACACACGTGACTTTCGTGCTCACTGTCTCAGATATCTGTTGTGTGCTTCGTGGTCTTCTTGCCTCTTGTATCTGATGTGCGTGTGTGTGCTCAGTCAACTGTGTGTGTGTTTGTAGTTGTTGTTGTTGTGGTTGTTATCTGTTATTAGTACTCTAAAGTTGTGTTTTCACCGGATGGACATGTTTGATTGAAGTCTCTACTATACTTGACGTCTGTCTGTGTGGCTGGTTGTGTGTGTAGACAAACGACAAGAGGCTGACACAGCGGCACAGAGATCATTAGTCGGGATGAATATGCTACTGGTACACTCGATGGATGGATGGATGGATGGATGGAGGGATGAAACAATGTATCGATGGATGAGTGCATGGTTAATGGATTGATGCGTGGATGCTTTGATGCATGCATATGTGTATGGATGAATGGGTGCATGAGTCGGTGGGTCATGGATGAATGTGTGCATGAGTCGGTGGGTGATGGATGAATGGGTGTATTGAGGGTGGGTGTATGCAGGGAAGGATTATATGGCTACCTGGGTGGATTATTGCATGGAAACTTGGATGGGTGCATTGATCGATGCCTTAAGTTATGATAGGAATCGGAGTCGCATAAGGAAAATGATCTTCCTAGTTCAGGTCTGAACTCAAAACAGTTTGAACAAAGATGTTGGTGAATAACTTTGTGAACAAGTTGAACGGCTAAATCACACAGACAATGGTCGCGTTTCTCCTGGGGAGAGGGAAGATGTTGGCTTTGATATACACTCAAGTGCTGTCCTTATTTGACTATCGCAGCTTATGATCTCTGTGTCTAAATATTTACTATGTGATGTCTGTATCTTGTGTCTCCATCTACCACCACTCATGCGAGACGTACTCCCTCTCTCCCTCGCCCCACTCTCTCTCCCTCGCCCCACTCTCTGTCTCTCTCTCTCTCCCCTCTGAAATACTTAAGATTAGGGTGATCAGCATTGTCAGTTGACGGGAGTGTGCAACTAAATTGGTTGCTGTGAAATATGGTCATAAACGCACCAACTGCTGTACAATTACAAGATTGTGGGCTCATTTTCGTCCTTTTGCCAGCTACTTGTGTCTCACGGTCGGCTCTGTGGCCAAGTCGACGCAAACGCTTCTTAATGCCGGGTTCGATCCCAGCTGCGGCCCATGCGCCTTGCGTTGATTTCGACAGTGGTATCAAGAAAGCCGACCGTCCAGATAGCAATGGCAAACTACTGGGCGTAAATTTGCCTAGAAAAACCACACAACAGCCAGGGGCTATTGGGGTTGGTTCTGCAACGTCCTGTAAAGGATACGCAACGAACCTTTCGTGTCTCAGGAGGTGACAAGGCTTCAGCACTACGCCAGGGAGTACGTCCGCCAGTGTTCGGTCCCCTGTTGGCGTATCGCTGCCTCCAGTAGTCACATGTAATGCTTGGATGAGACCGGAGTACCGTGAAGATTACCAAAATACCCAACTGCTCTTAGTTCGGGGACAGGGAACTGGTCAGCTCTTCTCGTAACGGATAAGCTAAACCATGTAGCTAGTTGATGGCACCTGCTGCTCTGATTTGAACACGGGTGTGTTAACTGTGACGTCAGGCGGGAGGCTTGCACGGGCTAGTCCATGGGTGAGTGGGCGCTGGTACATTGAGGGGCTAACCTTGTGTCTGACCTGACGTCTGCGGCACCGTGTTGTGCGCATGGGCGCCGGAACCTGCATGGCCAGACACTTTGAACCAGCTTTCCCCAATAGATTTAATGTGAGCCGAGCCACCACCCCACCCTTTTCAAATGTGTGCAAGGGGCTTGAGTGTATCCCCTGGCCTTCGCCGAAGGCATCTATAGACGTTCTGGCCAGTATTTGTTTATACATTTCACTTCAAAGACAAAACTAGAATTGTTTGCCACTCCCACACTTAGTAGTAGAAGTAGTAGTGGTAGTAGTAGTAGTAGCAGCAGTAGCAGTAGCAGCAGCAGCAGCAGTAGAAGTTGTTGTAATTGTAGTTATTGTACACTTAAACGAGGGTCAAGTCCAATAAGCCCTGCTTCTAGGAATTGGGGGAGGGCAACTAAGGCATCCCCCAGCAGTGGTTTATGTGTGGAGATGCGCCTGGTTGTATCTTAGCCTTCCTACGTGAGACTGAGCCCAGCTGTTGCTGGCCTGTCTTTCATGACACCGTGTTTAAGGAAATAAATAATAAAGCCCTAAGGCGACAGATGGGGAACAAATTTCTTTTTCTTTTTCTCTATCTTCTCGCCCCCCCCCCCCCCCTTTACCAGCCATATTGTAGTGTAGTTATGTTATGATGACCAGGCTGGCGTGGTGTGATCGCCCCCCCCCCTTTTTTTCCCCCAGCCATATTGTAGTGTAGTTATGTTGTGATGACCAGGCTGGCGTGGTGTGGTCATACAAACTCGACTTTGTCTCGGCAGCTTGGCTCATCGGAAAAAGTCTGCCCTCCCTGATGCCAGACTTGCCATCTGGTACCTAGTGATCGACTGGGTCCTGTCTAACCCGGCAACATTAACGCCATCAGTGAGACACCAAGTGAAATGGTTTGCCCACTTAGAGGTAATGCCTTGTGACACCATACCATACAAAGCATACATGGAAAGAGAAGGACGTAGAGCAAGAGGTAGACCAAGAACCTAATGGAAGGATAACATCAGAGAAACTCTACAACAGCACGATGTGCCTATGGTCGAGGCGGCCAGAAGAGCTAGAAACAAAACCTTATATCTCCCTCGACACCCACAGCGGTAATAGAGGAAGTGAAGAAGAAGAAGTGAGACACCAACCAAATCGCACCGGAAGAAGGCGAATAGTCCCAGCCGGCCCCAGCTAAAGCCCGGGTACTGCCAGCAGCGGGGACCTCTTGTCTGCGCCAGCGGAGGTGACACCCGCCATTGAGGAGTGTTGTGTGTAGACCAGATCCGCGGCTACCAGCGTCTTTGATCCGACAAAGACCCGTGTTAGGTAGCCAGCATTTTCTTCTCCAGCCCTTGCTTGTAAACCTTTAAATGTGTCACCTTTTCATCTGTGTCACTCTAGACACGGATAACACAGAGTAGCCATAGCTGTGAAATTGTCAAACTGCGCCCGACAGGTGATCATTAGACCATGGCCGCTGTTGCATTAGTTGGTCCAGTAGAGCGTGAAATGCCCCCAATCGTGGCGAGAGGGTAGCAGATTGTCCCCCTTGTCTAAAGGAGAGCTGTGTTATATCTCGGGAGTCCTGCCGTGTGTGAATGTGTGCAGCTTGGAACATCATAGAGACGTCCATCTACCCTGTCGTGACTTTGATGGCCACATGTCAAACATGTCACCATGAGCCGTGTGTCAGAGACATGACATCATGGACCGTGTGTCAGAGGCATGTCACCATGAGCCGTGTGTCAGAGACATGAAATCATGAGCCATGTGTCAGATGCATGTCACCATGAGCCGTGTGTCATAGAGACATGACATCATGGACCGTGTGTCAGAGGCATGTCACCATGAGCCGTGTGTCAGAGACATGAAATCATGAGCCGTGTGTCAGAGACATGAAATCATGAGCCATGTGTCAGAGACATGAGATAATGAACCGTGTGTCAGAGACATGACATTATGAGCCGTCTGTCAGAGACATGACATTATGAGCCGTGTGTCAGAGACATGACATTGTGAGCCGTGTGTCAGAGACATGACATTATGAGCCGTGTGTCAGAGACATGACATTATGAGCCGTGTGTCAGAGACATGACATTATGAGCCGTGTGTCAGAGACATGACATTATGAGCCGTGTGTCAGAGACATGACATTATGAGCCGTGTGTCAGAGACATGACATCATGAGCCATGTGTCAGAGACATGACATTATGAGCCGTGTGTCAGAGAATGACATTATGAGCCGTCTGTCAGAGACATGACATTATGAGCCGTGTGTCAGAGACATGACATTATGAGCCGTGTGTCAGAGAATGACATTATGAGCCGTGTGTCAGAGACATGACATTATGAGCCGTGTGTCAGAGACATGACATTATGAGCCGTGTGTCAGAGACATGACATTATGAGCCGTGTGTCAGAGACATGACATTATGAGCCGTGTGTCAGAGACATGACATTATGAGCAGTGTGTCAGAGACATGACATTATGAGCCGTGTGTCAGAGACATGACATTATGAGCCGTGTGTCAGAGACATGCCATTATGAGCCGTGTGTCAAAGACATGACATTATGAGCTGTCTGTCAGAGACATGATATTAGGAGCCGTGTGTCAGAGACATGACATTATAAGCCGTGTGTCAGAGACATGACATTATGAGCCGTGTGTCAGAGACATGCCATTATGAGCCGTGTGTCAGAGACATGACATTGTGAGCCGTCTGTTAGAGACATGACATTGTGAGCCGTCTGTCAGAGACATGACATTATGAGCCGTGTGTCAGAGACATGACATTATGAGCCGTGTGTCAGAGACATGACATTGTGAGCGTGTGTCAAAGACATGACATTATGAGCCGTGTGTCAGAGACATGACATTATGAGCCGTGTGTCAGAGACATGACATCATGAGCCATGTGTCAGAGACATGACATTATGAGCCGTGTGTCAGAGACATGACATTATGAGCCGTGTGTCAGAGACATGACATTATGAGCCGTGTGTCAGAGACATGACTTTGTAAGCCGTGTGTCAGAGACATGACATCATGAGCCGTCTGTCAGAGACATGACATCATGAGCCGTGTGTCAGAGACATGACATTATGAGCCGTGTGTCAGAGACATGACATTATGAGCCGTAT